TTAAATGGTGATTTACATAAATAAAATTGATTTATTATTTATATATAATTATTTCAACCAAATAATAATAATCAAAATAGAAATGAAATTAAATAGTAGTTTACATAAAGAAAATTGATTTAACCATACCATTGTCTCTCCCAACAATGTTTCCTGGAAAACAAAATTAAAAAAAAGTTAGAATTGCAATTAAATTAATTAATAACACAAATTACTGTTTAATCAAATAAAGAGAAAGAATGGAAGAGAAAAAAAAGAGGAAATTAAGAAGATACAAACCTAAAATTAAATGAATATAATGTAATTATAAACATAATACAATTAATCCAGCAGCATCTGAATAATGGAAGAAACGAGGAGTAAGAGAGAATGGAGGAGAAGAAAAAAGAAGAAGAAGGAAAGAAAGAAAGAAAGAAGAACTAAGCGGGTTAAGGTGTTGTGGTAATATATAGAGTATTTTACCAATGTGGCTTTTGTCGGAGTTTATTTTATTGAAAAAATGCATATCGTAATGTTGCTTGCACGTGGGAATCCAAAATGTGCAAAAATTTTCCAATCCCGCCCAAACCAGCTTCATGTTGGAAAGAATTCTGCCCATTTTACTGACAAAAACTTTCCAATCCCACCCAAATTACTAGCATGAAGATTATGTAAAAATTCAACGGATCAAAATTCATATTTAACCTAAAATTTACTCAAACCAATAAATCTCATAATGTTAAAATCAAACACTTAATATTAAAATTTTACAATTAATTATCGAAATTTGACTAAAAAAATTATCAAAAATGACTAATAACTATCCAAAAAATTTAGCTAAAACAACAATCTAACAAAATTAATGTCCAATCAACTAATGACAATATTTAATAGCTTAAATTTCAGAAAAATAAAATATATATCCCTTTGGCTAATTAGTTACAACGTGTTTCATTTTCCGCAATTTAAAAAAATAAAAATCTATATTGAACTAAGAAAGGCGCAAGTCCAAAGAAGCTCATCAAATAGTTATAGAGAAATACAACTTGAAGCTTGTTGGGTTCTTAATGGGCTTCACTTAGAAGTTTGAACTACAATATGTAGATGCCATTTAGCCCCAAGAAAGTGCGTAAATGGATTGGGTAAAGAATATGGACTTGAATTGTACCAGCACCGTCTCACTTCACCAACCTCGAGCCACCGTCGAGTAATGTAAACCTCATCGTTGACGCAAACCTCATCTTCGTCTTCTTTCAACATTTCCCCGTCTACGTTTATAAAGCAAAGATCTCCGTTTTTCTCTCTATTTGTGCAGCTTTTGGGAATTTGTTGGGGAAAATACTAAAGAAAAGCAAAGATCTCCGTTTTGCTCTCTATTTGTGCAGCTTTTGGGAATTTGTTGGAGAGAATACTAAAGAAAAGCAAAGATCAAACATATTGTAACCAACTAGTCAAAGGGAAGAACAGAGGAAAGGAAAGCAAGATGCATGAAGAGGAAGACCAAAATGAAAGGGTAAGGGGGTCTGGGGTGGTAAGAGGTAACCCCTACCGACGAAAACCACATTGCAACCATTAAAAGCTGATCTTCTCTGCGGAGCTACAGCATGCAGGTTGACCAACGTGATCACCGAGAAGTGTATGGTTGGCAATATGAAATTACTGATGAGAATTTTGTTAGTAAGAGTACCAAAAGCTGCAAGCTCAGCCTTCGGCAGCTGAATTCACGGGGAAGGGTTGGGGACTGTGAATTTACCAACGAAGTCTTTGTCGGTAAATTCACGATGATGAATCCTATTGCAGATTGAATTAGTTACAAGTGTGATCTTTGTCGTTGATTTGTTTATTGGTCTGCTTGTCGCCGAAGTGTACTTTGCAGCATATCACTGACGAAGGGCACGTGTGTATCGTGCAAATTTACCAAGAAAAATTTTGTCTGTGCCTTAAAAAATATAAATTACTCTTATTTTTATTGTTTTTTTATTTGCAGACGTTTATCTCGTCGGTAAAGGGGTAGTTTACCGAAAAGACTTCTCATGTCGGTAATTATGAGTCGGTGATTTTGAGTTTTCTAGTAGTGGTATTGGAATGGGTTATTTAAATAATAATAAGTAATTAAATTGTTAAAATAGATAATGGATAATATAAATTATCTTTGGACTTCTAAAACAATTTATTATTATTGAAATTTTTTTTATTTTATGTGTTTTAATAATTAAAAATATAATATTTAAAATTTTAATAGTAATAATTAATAAATTAATTATATATTTCTTTTTTTAAATCCCGGGGGGCCCGCCCCCATGGTCTCCAAGTGGCTCCGCCACTTAACATCTACATGGTATGCTCACTCAACTCATTAATAATTCATGCAAGTTGCAAAAGTAATTTTGTAGGGACAATGATTCAGTTGTTTTTTCTCTCACGCAACATAAACATAGTAATTGACTTTGATTTTTCAAGGTCCACTCTCATCACCATCTCATTTCTCTACTTCTCTCTCTCTCTCTTTCAGCCATCCTATTTAGTCCCCCCTCCTCTTATCATTTTGCACTCTCTTTTTCTACCAATCTTCAACTTCTTCAAGCCATGTTATTTCCTCGTCTTCTTCTCGGTCCTCTCATCGTCTTTTTCCTTGCAAACTTTGTGTTCGCATCCGTATTACCAGATGACGAATGTATATTGTCTTCTATATAACTTAGTTTAATTTCTTCAGTGCTTCATGTACTTTTTTTTTTTGATGATGATGATTATGTATGTTGTTTTGCTTTGGAATTTTGCAGTGAGAGCGTTGAGAGAGATAGCGAAGACGTTGGGAAAGACAAACTGGGATTTCAGCATAGATCCGTGCAGTGGAGAGTCAGGATGGGTTACACCAACGGAAGGATTATTAGAAAATTCTGTTACCTGTTCCAGTGACACCATCCCTCCCCATATTGTTAGCATGTAAGCTCCTCTCTCTATTGATTTCCCGTTTGGTCGTTTCATCTTCTCTTTTGTAAAGATGTTTAGGGTAATTTTTAAAAATTTATAATCTTAACTCTAGTTTAGCTATTTCTAAAAGTTTATAGTTGATATCAAGTAAGTGAATATATATTTATATATTTGTTCAGCAAAAATCCAATCATAACTACTCTTATAGATTATAAGAATGTTTTTTACTGTAATATAATTATGATGGTTGTTCGAATCATCTGCTTTTTTCAAAATAAGAATTTGCATAACTATTGTATTTTGTTTCTTGTAAATTACATGAATAATGTACGGCTGTACTTTGTTCGAAAAAAAGAAATTTATACATGAATGTCTGCTAAGAGGACTGAAAAAAAAAAAGTGGGGAAGAGGTCTAGCAGCCAAGTTGTCAATTTTGGATCCTATAAATAAAGTACACAAGTGGCTCACGGGCTTTGTTGACTCTGCCGGGACACGTATTGGCTAAGTTCAGGTTAAAGTTTTAGAATCTATCATTACAATAATTTGAATTTTTTTATACATCATATTGACATATTGATATAAAGGATATATTTTTAAAATAATTAAAAATATATTAATTTTAAATTATGTGAAAACTGAGTTCGGAGAGACATTTTGACCAAAAAAAAAAAAAAACAGTTTTAAGTTGCAGCTAAAATGGCCTCGAAACCTCAAACACATCCTAAAAAATGAAAAAAAAGAAAACCAAACAAACAAACAAACACTAGATTAAAATGCTATTGGGTCTGAGCATGAGGACTATTATATGTGTTCATACGGGCTTGAACCTATAAGACTGAAACGTTAGGACTGGACTCAGCAGCAAAATCCAACAGAACCTGGCCCACTCCAGTCCAGTAAATTGGGTTTCTAATATGCAATTTCCTGTTGAAACAGAGTGCTTAAAGCACAGAATCTCCAGGGCACTCTCCCACCAGAGTTGGTCAGGCTTCCTTACCTTCAACAAATGTAAGTAACTTTTCCTAAAATTTTCTTCATCAATCTGAATTTGCCCCTATTCCTTTCTATAATTACCCTGTTTCCCTCTTGTTTTCTCATTAGTCTATTCTAATGCCATGTTACAGTGACCTTACTCGCAACTACCTCAGTGGCACCATCCCTCCAGAATGGGGTTCCATGCAGCTCGTCAACATGTATGTTTTCTCATGTTCAAATATTTACACATTAGTGGAAAGTTCTTCATATAATTACATAACATACATGTAATCATATATGTTACATTGTCCACTAGAGAATTTTTGAGTCAGTGTGAAAGGATAATAAGTTTAAATCATAGTTAATCTCAAAAAAGGCATAAATATTTTGGAATCCACAAAAATAACAGGAGAAAGTCATTTTTTTTTCTTTTTTAAATAATTCCTATTCAAAATATCATATTGAAGTCTGCGTGGCAGTAGTAGGCCTTACATTGATTTGTATTTCATCTATTCTAAAATAATAATTATTTTTTATTTTAAATTTATTTCAAATTAATTATCATTTTTTGTTTTTTAAAATAAGTAAATATTTTTTTTAACTTTTAACTCTATCATTATATATTCACTTTAATTAATCATTTAATTATAAAAAATTATTTTTGGTCTTTCTTTTAAAAATATTAAAAATAAATATAAATATTATTTCTAAATCTTTTATTTAAAAAAATTAAAAGACTACAATTATTTTATGAGGAAGGGAGTATATAAAACCTAACGTTGGTTAATTAAAAACTTAAACTTTTATGTTGGATGTCTGAAGCTCAAATCATGGGATGCCTAGGGTGGCTTTGGGAAAAGGAGAGATATAGCCTATTCTATAGTATAGCTCATATATGTTGCCCTCGAGCATGTATGTTTGTTCATGGCTGCCTTAATACCATGCCCTGTTGTTTATATATTGAGAGTGGTATTTGGATGTTAATGATGCAGCTCTCTTCTTGGAAATCGCTTAACGGGTCCGATCCCCAAAGAGATAGGAAACATAAGCACTCTTACCGACTTGTGAGTTCTTTTGACAATGAATTTTTGTTGTTTTCATAGTTTATTTATGTTTATGTGGTGGACTGATTCTTATGCGTCAGTGAAAATGTGTAGGGTTGTTGAGATTAATCAACTGTCAGGAGCTTTGCCACCGGAGCTTGGGAACCTAACTAGCATTAAGAGACTGTTAGTTTGTTTCTCTTGTGTTTGATTTAATGTCTAACTGAAAAATGTCTCTGGAAGTTTTTACCATATATATTTGTTCATACATAAGTAATGCATTATTTGACATTGTTATTTCCAATATTGCAGTCTTCTTACGTCCAACAACTTTACTGGAGCATTGCCTGCAACATTTGCTAGGCTAACCTCATTGAAGGATTTGTAATCTTCTGATTTTTGTTAATTTTCAAGGCTTACTTTATTAAATGGGTTAGTTTGTGATATTTGTCTATTTTCAACATAATGCAGTAGGATTGGTGACAATCGCTTCACGGGAAAGATACCCAGTTTCATCCAGAATTGGACAAATCTTGAAAAATTGTGAGGGTTCTATAATTTATCATTTCATGTTACACATTTGTATTGTGATGAAATCATTTGAATCAGTGTTTCTTTCTTTTTCCTCTTATATAACTAAAATAAAAATTTGATATTGACAGAGTAATTCAGGCAAGCGGCTTACTGGGGCCAATTCCTTCTAGCATAAGTGCTTTAGTAAATTTAACTGACTTGTAAGCACAGATTCTAGATTTTATATTTTCTAAATATGCAAATTGGGGATATTTTGATTGTATTTTTTTGTTTATACTCAATTCAATATTGTTGATATATAGGAGAATTAGTGATTTAAATGGAAGTGATCCAGAATTTTTTCCACCACTTAGCAAGATGCTAAATATGAGGACACTGTGAGTATAATTTTACACTGCAGCATTTCTAATTAACGAAGTCAAGGGCATTTCTGTGACATAAATGATTAACGGATTTTTCTGATTGTCTTAATTACAGGATACTGAGGAGTTGCAATATCGTTGGAGAGCTACCTGATTATTTGGGACAAATGACATCTTTGAAGACCTTGTGAGTGCACAATTGGTTTCTTGCATCATTCTAGACACGATATAACTACTTTTTAATATAATATTCTTGATATGATTTCTCTTGCAGAGATCTTAGCTTCAACAAACTCAGTGGAGAAATACCAAGCAGCTATTCTGGTCTTGAGGAAATTGATTTCATGTAATCACATGCGTTTGAGGGATTAAAATTAACTTGTTTTTGTCAAAAACTTCAACTCTTTTGTCTTATCATGCTTAGATCGTGCAACACCAATGATATGTCTTCTATATTTCCTGATGATGTATTTATGTCAAAAATGTAATTATAAAAGCTCTTTTTTTTTGCTCATTTTAGGTATTTAACAGGAAATTTGCTTTCTGGGAAAATTCCTCTTTGGATACTGGAAAAAGGAGACAATATGTAAGATTTTGTTTTCAATTCTTCATTGAAGTACTTTTATTCTAAGGAAGTTTTTTGACAAATCTTTCAGATTTCTATTAAGAATTTGATATTGAAATATCCGTACCTAGTGCTTTATTAATTAGTTCATACTCAAAAAGTAACCTGTACAATATTTCCTTATCGTGTGGTCTATTTTCTTGACTTCATCTCTTTAAGTTTACTAGATTATGTGAATCGATAGCAACTTATTCTGTTGGCTGTACAATTTAAAAGGAAAACCATATATGAATTTACAAGTTCATACATTTATCAAAATCAAACTGTCTTCATGTATAGTTTAGAGAAACTAGTGACAATCTTATGAATTATCACTAAACAGTAATTTCTTTTTCTCTTTAGTGATCTTTCATATAACAACTTCACAGCTGGAAGCCCAGGGGCAACAGGTTGTCAACAACAGAGTGTGTAAGAGTCTTGTCATCAAAGTTTGTTTATTTTTGATAAATAGGAACTTAGTTTTCCTAGCTATTACAGAAGAAAAAATTTGTTATGCAAACTGATCTTTACCACTGGTCCTGTTTCCTACAGGAATTTGTTTGCAAGCTCTTTAGAGGGCAATAATTCGTAAGTTTTAACTCTATTCTCAAAGAATATGCTTTCTAAAGATTTCATTGTTCTGATTCACTTTGCTATCATGATCCTTACATTTTCTGGACCTTGTATTGTATAGTATCCGAGGTGACATTTCATGCTTGGGAATCGACTCTAAATGTCAGAAAAGTAAGTTCAAATAATAAATAATGTTTGGTTTTGATGATAGCTCTTGGATTTTGTTTCTCATTTTGAGGAAAAAGTTGCAATCTTTCTGTGAGAATCTAAATAAGAAAGGGGTTTCTGAGGAATGTAATTAAGAGGACTTTTCTTACTTAGCTTATGATAAAAGATTTAATTGCAGTATTTTAGTATGGTTGCGCATATGCTTCATTCTTTGGAACATTCTTCCTTTCTTCCTAGGAAAGTTCCTCAATTATCCTTCAAAATCTTAAACCCATAAAGTTTAGCAGTGCTTAACCAATTACTTGATATTTCATTTGCAATTTATTCTTCTTGAATAGTTAGTGAGCCATCGTTTTTTTGGTTTTAGAAAGGTATTCTCTCTATATTAATTGTGGTGGAAGAGAAGTAATTGTCGGGGGAACCAAATATGAAGATGATGGAGATGCAGCAGGACCTTCGAGATTTGTTGAAAGAAGCAGCAATTGGGCAATCAGCAACACTGGTAACTTCTTGGATGGTGGCAAAAATCCAGATGATTTTATCGCAACAAACAAATCTGAACTTTTTGTGAAAGATTCAGAACTGTACATGAATGCACGCCTTTCAGTCATCTCTTTAACTTATTATGGATTTTGTATGGAGGATGGAAACTACACAGTAAATCTCCATTTTGTGGAGATAATGTTCACCGATGATAAGACATACAGCAGCTTGGGAAGGCGCATATTTGATATTTACATTCAGGTAGCTCAGATTGATCTTAATTTCAGAAATGTTACATTTTAGATTTTGATTGAAAAGAGTAAAAGGGAAAGATCGACATAAAGCATGGAATATTCAATTGCTGGAATACATGATTGCAGGGAAAGCTAGTCCAAGAGGATTTCAACATTGCGGCTGAAGCTGGTGGGGTTGGCAAGGCTATCATTAAACCATTTCCTACAGTTGTGATCAATGGTACCTTGGAGATTCGTTTATATTGGGCTGGAAAAGGAACAACGGCCATTCCTGATAAAGGAGTTTATGGTCCTCTTATATCAGCTATATCTGTGAATCCTAGTAAGTTTAATATATAATACTGCACATTTCTTCTTATTTTTCATTTTGACATTTAACTTGCTCAAGAGCTGTGCCTGTGTTATTGCATTCAATATACATCATGCATTCAGATTGCATTGCATGTTTTTACTCAAGATTCAGTGTGACTAAGTAGTATTATGATCTTCTTGTTATCTTCATGATTTTCTTTGAGCAGATTTTACACCTCTTTTAGAGGGTGGTACTAGTCTATCTATAAGACTGGTGGTTGGAATTGTAGTTGGAGCAGCATCTGTTATTTTTCCTGTTGTGGTTATCCTTTGGTGGAAATGCTACAGAAGACAAAAAAACACATTAGAACAAGGTATCTCAGAGAAATCAGCATTATTATTGGCTTTTGGTGAACTTTTGGGATTGATGATAGTTTAGTATTCACCTTATAAATAATTCTCTCATCTTTCTCCTCTTCTGCAGATCTAAAAGGTATGGACTTGCAAATTGGTTCTTTTACTTTAAGGCAGCTAAAAGCTGCCACCAACAACTTTGATCCTATTAATAAGATTGGAGAAGGTGGTTTTGGTCCTGTCTACAAGGTAACATATACTACAATGTTTCCTTTAATCTTACAGAAAATTTGTTTAAATTAATCCAATGGTATTTCTTAAATGCAGGGGCGTTTGATAGATGGTAAAGTAATTGCTGTTAAGCAGTTATCTGCTAAATCAAAGCAAGGAAATCGTGAGTTTGTGAATGAAGTTGGCATGATCTCTGCTTTGCAACATCCTCATCTGGTAAAGCTATATGGATGTTGCATTGAAGGAAATCAGCTCTTGCTAATATACGAGTACATGGAGAACAATAGCCTTGCTCGTGCATTGTTTGGTGTGTTTTATTCATATTGTTTTCTTATTGTGCTTGTAGTATAAAATATTTCCAAGAATGAATATATGGCAGCTACATATCTAATCTTTTCTTTATTTGGTATTTCTTAGGTCCAGAAGAATGCCAGATGAAATTAGATTGGCCAACAAGACAGAAGATCTGCATTGGTATAGCAAGAGGTTTGACTTATCTCCATGAAGAATCAAGGTTGAAGATTGTGCACCGAGATATCAAAGCTACCAATGTATTGCTTGATAGGGATCTAAATCCTAAAATTTCTGACTTTGGCCTAGCCAAGCTTGATGAAGAGGATAATACCCATATCAGTACTCGAGTTGCTGGAACCTTGTTAGTATCATTGCTTCCATTGCCCTAAATATTACTGATGATATATAACTGTTTCACATGTTGTTAAGTGTCAAAGTGTTTGAATGTCACTGACATAGAATATATTGTATTATGTTCCCTACTTTACAGTGGTTACATAGCTCCTGAATATGCAATGCGGGGATACTTAACTGACAAAGCAGATGTTTATAGTTTTGGAATTGTGGCCTTAGAAGTCATTAGTGGAATGAGCAACACAAGTTCTTGGACAAAGGAAGATAGTTTTTATCTTCCTGATTGGGTACAAACAACCTCACTCTTTGACTCTTTCTTAAATTTTAATATTCAATTTGTTGAAAAGTGGACCACAAGAAAGCAATAAACTTTCCTGTTTCCTCGTAGGCTCTTCTTCTGAAGGAGAAAGGAAGCTTATTAGAGTTTGTTGATCCGAGACTGGGATCTGACTATAACAAAACAGAGGTAATGAAAATGATAAATGTGGCACTACTATGCACTAACCCTGCTCCAACCGCTAGGCCAGCCATGTCTTCCGTGGTGAGCATGCTTGAAGGGAAGGTTGCTGTTATGGGGTTAGGTTCGGATTCTAGCATGTCTATTGAATTGATGAGGAGGTTCTATCAGAATCTTGAAGAAAGAAATATTCATGAGAACCAGTCACACAGTTTGTCAATAGAATCTTCGCCATTTATCTCCTCTTCCTTATCTACAGCTGACCTCTATCCACCCAGTTTGAACTCATCTTATTGGCACAAAGAGAGGTTAGAAAAGAAAAACTCTACAGATCATCTTGATTTTGGCCATAAGAGCATTTCTTAATGGGAAATTCTATTATTTTTTATTATAATTTTTCATTTTGCAATTAGATTGTCTAGAGCAAGAATTTGTTAACGCAAGGTTGTGTTTTAAATTCTGAATCACTATTGTAATAGTTTTTACATGGTAGAAAAAATATGTATTTTTAATATTAGATTTACCGATAAATGTAATGTTGTAGGTTAAATATAAAATTCAAATCTTGGGATGGATATTAATTTTGGCCAAGAAAGTAAAAATTAGCAGAAGATATTTTGATGGTAAATAAAAAAAAATATTTCATTTGAACTTTTGGTATGATATGATTGTACCTTTTAGGTACATTATATGATGAGTTGCAACAAGAAATATAACATTGTCTATTGATTCTTCTCAATTTATTTTAAAGTTTAAATTCAAAATCTTAAATTTTTAATCTCCTAAGAGAAATTTTCCCAACTTGAGATGATAATTTCTCTCAACTTGATACAAGTCATTTAAGTAGTACATGACCATATATTAGTGCATTGATCAGAAAGGAAAATGTTTATCATGGTATAATGGTTTTTCAGTAAATAACAGCTATGTTTTCTTTTTTTCCTTTTTCTTTTACTTATTTTTTTCCTTCTTAGCTACGATAGGCAGCGTTTTATGCACAAATTATATGAGTCCTTTATTCCCTTATTTACGCAAGTTACAGAACTAGTGTTTAGAGAAATATCCTTCCTTCTCCTTCATTTTTTTTTTAAATCAAACTTATTTTAAAATTAAACTTTAAATTTTGTAAGTTTAGTTTTTAAATATCTTACTTTGTGTTTATAAACAATTGCAAATGTAGGAGGTGTTTGATTGGGAAAAACTTTTTTCTTTCAACTTTTTTAAACTTTTATCTTTACAAAGTTATTTAGATATTTTTACATATTAATAAAATAATAAGTGACATTTTGAGTATTTATTTTCCTTAATATAATTCTTAACTCATAAAATTTTTTCTTCTTATTTTGAAAAGAAAATGTTTTTTTATAACTTATTGTATATTGAACTCATTTAATGACTTTTCTTATTAATTTTTCTTATATCAATTTTTTACCGATCACAATAAAAGTAATAACTCAGCAAAATTTCAACAGAACTTTATTACAAAATTTAATAATTTTCTTTACAATACTTTTCAATTTTTTATACAATTCTTTCCTAATAATTTTCTCAATAAAAACTTTTTTTTTTTGGTAAAATGACTCTTTAACTAAACAGGCTTTAAGAGTAGGGAGTAGAGGGATTTTACCATTGCCACTTTGTAGCTGGAAGCTGGAAACCTTGGTTGGTGTCATCATGGCATTGAGTGCACCAACTATCTAGCCTCTAAAACCTGATGCTCCTTAATCTAAAAAAAAAAGTGCTAGAGACACTCTATGACATTTTATTCGAAACATTTTTATATGATTGGATCACATGAAATATAAATTTAATGTGATTGATAATTAGTTATTGATATTAAAATTAATATTTTTAAAATTTAAAATTATAACCAATTATATTAAAATTATATCATACATGTCTCATATGCATGGAGAGTATTAAAAAAAAAATGTTAGGAAGAGTCTTCATCGCATTCCTCTAATCTTAATGCATGCCATTTGCACTTGATTTTTTCCCTAAATCCAAGCGTTATGCTTTAATTCGAGTTATAAACCGGTGGGTAAGTGGGAAAAGGATGGGATGCCCTATGGTACGCGTACCCGCTATGCGACTTATAATAGCAAAACACCCTATCACAACGGTCCACATAACACTATATTTTTTTTTTGGTTAAACCCCCATTTTGGTCCCTCAACTATGGTATGGACCCCTGATTTGGTTCCTCAACTCAATAAATCTCTGATTTGATCTCTATTGTTTATCATTTTGACCCCAACTTAGTCCGTTTGTTAAAAATCCAATAACTTGTTTTGGTGATTAACGGGTACATGATGACATGTCAAATTTTTAATACACGTGGCATGAAAATATGACAAAAAGTGATGCCATGGAGAAAACTAATAATATGACAAAAAAAATTAATATGACCAAAAAAAAAAATTCTTTCCTTTTTTTTTTTCCCTTCTCTTTCACTCTCTTCCTCTTGGAATCCAGCGCCTGCTGGGTTCCTTCGAAACCCGATGGAACCTAGGCGTTGGGTTTCTCTTCCCTTTAGAACCCAACGCTTGTTGGGTTCCTTCAAACCCCAATGGAACCCAGGCATTGGTTTTCTCTTCCCTTTAGAACTCAACGCTTGTTGGGTTCGAAGGAACCCAGCATGCTTGGGTTCGATGGAACCCAAGCACGAGTTCTTTCAAACCTAGGCGTTGGGTTCCTTGGAACCCAGCACGCCTGGGTTCAGAAACTCTCCATTTCTACCTCCAGTTGCTCAGCCACCGTATTCCTCCCCACACAAAGAAGCAGAGGAAAAGGAGAGACTGTCATCGTCTTTACTCCATCATTTGCTTTTGCTTCTTCTTCGATTCTCTCTCTCTTTCGTTAAATTCGTCATCGATTTCTTGTTCAAGTAAGCTCTCTCGATCGTTTAGCTTTGAGGCTTTGTCTTTTCAATTTGAGATTATGATGGATCAATTTATGTTTGGTTGATTTGATGATTCTGTCACTCGTTTTGATGTTTTTGTGCTATTGAAAGTGAGATCTGTGTGTACATTGACGATCTCTGTTGTCGATTTTGCAATTTTAATTCGTTCTGGCTTTAGTTGGTTTTAGTGATTGCTTTATTTGGTTTCCTGATTTGGTTTTTTGGTCTTTGGATCTATGTTTTATGATGTTACTATCGGCTAACTAGATCGTCTGGATTCTAATAGTAGTGTTCTTTCGAACCCAGGTGCTAGGTTCGATGGAAACCAAGCATGAGGTTCCTTGGAACCTAGGTGTTGGGTTCTTTCGAACCCAACACGCCTGGGTTCAATGAAACTTGTATTCTTTCGAACCCAGAGGCAAAAAAAAAAAAAAAAAGAGCGAGAAAAATAGATGAAGAATTGATTGATGAAGAAGGCAAGATAAAGAAGAGGAAGGAAAAAGAAAGGGCACTTGCTGAGGAACCTAGCACGCCTAGGTTTCATCGAAGAGCTTGTTGTTCTAGGGTTCGAATGGGAAGAACAGAGGAGAAGGGTTCAGTTTTTGCAGGGGTGGGCCCCACTTTTCTTTTTGGTTTGATTCTCGGTGAGAATGAAACATGTCATATTGCCATACCATCTTTTTTCCAAGTTTACATCTGACATGTCACGTTATTTTGACATGTCATCGTGGTCCCATTAGTTAACGGGACACGTCATTGGTTTTTTAACGGAATGACTAAGTTGGGGTCAAAATGGCAAACAGTAGGGACCAAATTAGGGATTTATTGAGTTGAGGGACCAAATCAGGGGTCCGTACCATAGTTGAGGGACCAAAATGGGGGTTTAACCTTTTTTTTTCTCTCTCATCAATGTCGGACTCCAGCTGGGCCAGACCTCCAAAAGATTCAATTGTTAGTGTCTGATTTTTGCCCTGACATCACCGCATACCATACATTGCCAAATCGTTCATCTTGACATGCAAGACAAACAAATCTCTACATTAACATCTCACCCCTAACCCAAATGCAACATCATCTAAAGGTCAGATTCACTCGCAAGTTATTTTAGAGTCATAAATTTTCTTGACTACATAATGGGATCAATATAAAGGAAAAAAAAAAAAACCTAGTTTCCTCCAATACGGTTGAAGTATATGGACATGCAAATAGAGTTGAAAAATGTATAAAAATCTTACTTCTATAAAAAATAAGGTTACATGTTAAAATACAATATATTTATAATGCTTGTAAACTTGATAGCCATATCATTTGAATTCGGCTAAATTAAGGCTATACATTTAAAATTTTCCAAAGACGGAGGGTAACTCAAGTCACCCTCACGGTTAAAAAAAGAAGGCGTATCAAACTCCTCTCTTTGGACCCATAAAAACTCACCCCATAAAGTATGTAGGAAAGCCATTAAAACCTCTGCCATTTCTGCAAGAAGCCAGAAACAGAGCATTCACCCCACATCAATTCTCTCTGGATATCCATCTCTTTCTTCTGAAAGAGATAATGGGTTCCGGCGACTTTTGATGCGGTTACTCTGTTGCATCTTCAGGTCTGCTGCTCTTCGGTGTTGCTCTTCTTCCGTAAGCAAATGCAGGGGACTGCGACCTGTTCAGCGGAAGGTGGGTTTTCGATTCCTCCTACCCTATGTATTCTTCCTTGGAATGTCCTTTCATCGAGAGAGAGTTCAGTCGCGAGAAGAATGGCCGGCCTGATTTGGTTTACACCAAATACAGATGCCAGCCTCTTGGCTGTGATTTAGCAAGGTACTGCCAATTTTCTCCCCTGTTTTTTCATTGAATATTTGCAGCTGTTTCTGTGTATCATTATTGTAACACATAAAAAGTTCAAATAAAGTAGTAATAATAAAAAAGGTTGGATGATCATAATTAATTTCAGAAATATTAAAAAAAAAAAAAAAAGGTCGATGCGCCCTTTCTACCTACCTACAAGAAGAGGTGAGTTACTGAGGGGCTAAAGTATTTTCCATTATTGTTTAAGGTTATTAAAAATTAATTTTAGGTTTGTACCCTGACCTATAGAAAGTCAAAGTAATGCTTTTTTTTTTTTTTTGACAATTCAAATTATAAAATGTTAATTATTAGATGTTTGACTAACAGTCACATTATTGTGCTGCGGTTTTCTGAATATGGTTTGAAGAGTTTGAACTATTGCATACAAGGCATGAGTCAATCAATAACATACAATTAGAAGCGTTAAATATGTCAAAAAGCAATCTTGTGATTAATATCATAAGCTTAATAACGAGTTTTTAAAAATAATAAAGACAAAAGAGTTCATGTTTAGCCAACAAATCTAAAGCGAGCAGCTAGGCACCTTAAAAAAAATCTTAATGTGAATGCCAATGTTTCGATAATAGAGGGTAAGCCTAAAGATGGGAAGCACATGATATTTGACTACCTCAAGCTTTATATTATGACAAACCATCTTAGACCAAAAGGTCAAAAGCCATATTAAATACCTTAGACTTGACCGAGGGGCAACATGGTAAGGATTGATGATGCCCATTTCACACTATAATGTCGAACATTTTCACATGATTTCAAGAAATAAGAAAAACAACACACAACAGAAACCTTATTCCAGCTCAACTGTGTTATAAAGAATTACAATAAACTAAAGTGGAATTGTAATAAAAACTGTCCCCATTCTTAACATTGACCTGCTCCCAGAAGGAGTAAAAGAAAATATACCATCAATAGAGAGAACTTGTGCAAATAACAATTTCAGATTTTCCACATCAAATTCCTAATTGACAGCTAATTTACCATAATCATATTGGTTGTTGTTGTCATGTAGGTTTCTACTA